GGGCTTTCTGCTAGGTGGGGGAAAGGTTCATGCACAGGTGACCCTAGAGCGAGGCAGTGCCGGGGATGCAGCCCCAGGGCATTGTGGGAACTCCTGAGGGGAAAGGGCGTGTGACACAGCAGCAGGAAGGCCCACTGGGGACGGGCAGAGCCGCCCTGTGAGCAGGGCAAGCAGGAAGAGTGGCTGGGCTGTGCAGAGGGGGCTCGGGTGGCCGAGGGAAGGGGCTGGAGGGGCCTTGGTGGCTGAGAACAGCTCTGAAGCCTCCGTCGGCAGGTGTGACCAGAGCCGTGGGACCCAGGTCCCTGGTGCTCCTGCTGGCTTTTCTTCCTGGGCACTCAGGGGTCTTCCAGCTCCGGGGAGGCAAGGGGCACGCTGGCTGTGAGTCACATGGATGCAGATCCCCCCCCTGCGGAGTGCAAGGGTGACCTGGGTGTGTGAAGCCACAGAGTCCGGGCAACTTCTCCCAGCACCATCTGCCTGTCTCAGAGGATTAACTGGCTTCAGAAATAGCCCCGTGGTCTCGTGCATCGTTGGAGCTGGGAACACCAGCACAGGTTATATTCACGGGACGTGCGGAGGCGGGGAAATGATCGCAGGGTGTTCAGGGATCCTGGGGGACCCACCACGCAGAGCAGGGTGGAGTGGTGGTTGCGGGAGGGGCAAAGGCCGCCGTTGGGAGGAACCTGTTATTCTTGCATCCAAAGGAAAGGTCCCAATACTTTCCCCAAGTCCTCTCCATTCCAACCGTGTGAGCATTTTTTTCTGTTTCTTGGGGACCTTATCCCTGTCCTTTACAGTGAACCCCTCACACCACAGGTTCTAGGGACCAATGAATAATTCATTCTGGATGAAGGCAATCAATATTCAGGCTTAGCCAGAATAGAGCTGTAAAAAGTAAATGTTTTTGGGAAAATAAAATCTTGAGACTTTTAAGTTAAACCAGTGTAAACCGATTATAGTATCCCATTATAAACCACATTCATTGCACTTACTTTATTGTTTTATGGGTCAAAATCCTTGTTCCCTGAATCCTTAATGGGTGAGTACATCTCACCTATAAGACCTATTAGTACCAGTGATGGAGCCCAGGGGCCCTATTAAATCACACTTTAGGCCATGGTATAATGTATGTGCAGAGACATTTCCTGATCCTGGTGTGTATTGCTCCGTGAGTGATCACACTCATTGCCTTTGTATTCCTATAATCAGCCTTTAGGGTAAAATTTAAAAAAAAATCAGAATTTTATGACAGGTGGCAACATTCTTTCCCATCAAATTTTCTATTAATGAATTTGGTCAAGCACTAGTCATTTATTGAGCACTCTGCATTTTTGTTACAATCTTAGCAAAATTTATTGGAGTGCTTTGTGTCTCGGGCTGCATGCCACGATCTGCACTCGTTATTGCTAAATCCTCACCAGGAATTCATTCGGCGGCTTCTGTAAGGATCTCCAATTCAGAGATGAGAAACTGAGGCACAGAAGAATTGGGTAGTTTGCCAAGAGTCACATAGGCAAGTAGGTGGCGGGGGCCAAACTCCAGCCCCGGGATGTACTCAGGCTCTTTCTGCTCTGGGGGAAGCAGGAGGGACTGCCACCCTGCTTTTCCTGCACCTGTTCCTCCTGCACCCTGCTTCCTCCTGCACCTGCTTCCTCCTGCACCCTGCTTCTTCCTGCACCCTGCTTCCTCCTGCCCACCCTTGCTTCCTCCTGCACCCTGCTTCTTCCTGCACCCTGCTTCCTCCTGCAGCCTGCTTCCTCCTGCCACCCTGCTTTTCCTGCACCCTGCTTCCTCCTGCACCCTGCTTCTCCTGCACCCTGCTTTTTCCTGCACCCTGCTTCTTCCTGCACCCTGCTTCCTGTCGCTTCCTCCTGCACCCTGCTTCCTCCTGCACCCTGCTTCTTCCTGCACCCTGCTTCCTCACTTGCACCCTGCTTCTCCTGCACCCTGCTTCTTCCTGCACCCTGCTTCCTCCTGCACCCTGCTTCCTCCTGCACCCTGCTTTTTCCTGCACCCTGCTTCCTCCTGCACCCTGCTTCCTCCTGCACCCTGCTTTTCCTGCACCCTGCTTTTTCCTGCACCCTGTTCTTC